GTAGCTATCCAATTTTCCCAGCACAATTTATTTAATAAGGTGCCTTTTCCTAGTATATGTTTTTGTCTGCTTTGGCAAAGACCAACTGGTTGTAGGTATTTGGGTTTATTTCTGGAGTCTCTATTCTGTTCCAAAGGGTGTAATTCTTTTTGAGTCACATAATTTTCAACTTAAATGCCTCAGTACTATTTTTTTTTTTTTTTTTTTTTTTTGAGATATGGTCTCATTACATTGTCCAGGTTGGTCTTGAACTCCTGGCCTCAGGTGATCCTCCTACACTGGCCTCCCAAAATGTTGGGATTACAGGCATGAACCAATACATTCGGCCAGTAATACCTTTTAGTATGCAATTCTATTAATTTATTTCCCAGTGGTTTTTATATTATCCAAAATAAAATAAACGTGTATTTTATATGTATGCACAAAAGTATTAATCTGTTTATTTAAACTTAAAAATAAAAGAAATTGTATGATACAAATCAAGTTTGATACAGCTTGTTGGTTTGACAATGGAAACTGGCTCTGTGAACCAGGAAATACACTGAATAAGCTAAACATTTTGAAGATTCTGACAAAAATATATTTAAACACACAAAAGCATCTTAATAAAAATTCCATTAGCAAAGCTGTACTAAAACTAGTAATAGTTTTTATTTTCTAACTGCTTCGCAGTATATCATATTAAAGAAAAGTACATATAAGGAAAGGGAGGGGGCATTGATATAATTAGACATTTGATAAGTCTTGGTAATGTTGTTTTTACCTAGAAGCTTAAAAAAAAAAAAAAAAAGCAACAAGTAACAAATTCCTTTGGCAAGTTAGGTGGTTTCCATTATTTGCTTTCAACAAAACTGAAGGAGGACCTAATAAAACTATAAATGATGAATGCTTGAGGATAAAATTACTAAATGATTTTTGGCATACAACCTGGAAGATTCTGATATCACAAAATTTCCATTAGAATTAACTTATTTATATGAACATTTATTTCTCAGCACTTAAAACCTACAAAATCTAAAAACAGCAACAGATTTGGTATCAAATTCTATTTCACTCTATCAATAATACATCTCCAAACATAAGAACTATTGAAGGAAGAAAGGAGACCATTCCATTTCATTAAAGAATGAATTCCTGGCCAGGAGCAGTGACTCCTCCTGTAATTCCAGCACTTTGGGAGGTGGAGGTGAGAGGACTGCTGCCTAGCCCAAGGGCTCGAGACCAGCCTGGGCAACTTTTTGAGACCTCATCTCTACAATACATCAAAAAGTTAGTAGGAGTAGTGGGACCCGCCTGTAGGTCCAACTACTTGGAAGTCTGAGGTAGAAGGATCACCTGAGCCCAGCAGGTCAAGGCTGCGGTGGCCATGAGCATGCCACTGCATTCCAGCCTGGGCAACAAAGTAAGACTCCAACACAGAAAGAAAGAAAAAAAAAAAGAATGAATTTAAACAAAATTTTAATCAGTGTATGTTATTCTAATCAACTAAGCACTAATAATTATAAAAATAACTTGGCTGGGTACGGTGGCTCCTCCCCCTCCAACACTTTGGGAGGAGGAGGTAAAAGGAATGTCTAAGCCCAGATAAAAACCAGCCTGGGCAACTTGGTAAGACCTTGTCTCCAAAATAAATAAATAAATAAATAGACAAATAAATAAATAAAATTAGCCAGGCCTGGGCAATTTGGTGAGAACTTGTCTCTAAAATGAATAAATGAATGAATGAATAAATAAATACAATTAGCCAGGCATGAGGGCGAGTACTTGTACCTCCCGCTATTTGGAAGGCTGAGACCGAAGGATCACCTGAACCCAAGTCAAGGCTGTGGTGGCCATGAATGTGCCACTGCAGTCCATCCTGGGTGACAAAGTGAAACTCCAACCTCCGCCCCAAAAAAATTCAAACCAGAAGATATTTATAACACTCAGAGCCTTATGAGTATAGAAAAAAACATACATTCTTAATTTCAATTCATTTGGCAGAGAAGTTTGATGAATGACTAACAAAAGATTTTACGCTGGCTCAGCCTGTAATCCCGCGCCTTTGGGAGGCTGAAGTGAGTGGATTGCCTGAGCCCGCGGATTCAAGACCCGCCTGGGCAGCAAGACCTCATCTCTACAATAGATCAAAAAATCAGCCGGGCGTGGTAGCGCATGCCTGTAATTCTAGCTACTTGGAAGACTGAGGCAGAAGGATTGCCGGAGCCCAGCAAGTCGAACTGCGGTGGCTGGGAGCGGCCACTGCACTCCAGTCTGGGTGACAGAGTGAGACTCCAACTCAAAAAAAAAAAAAAAGAAAAAGATTTTAAGCATAAGAACATAACATTAGTATAAAACTCGAGGAGAGTAGCAGAAAAGACATGCACGTTCAAAGAAAAAAATTATTAAAATTTCCAGCTATGCACGGTGCCTCAAGCACTGTGGGAGATGGAGGTAAGAGGACTGCCTGAGTTCAGGGGTTCGAGACCATTCTGAGCAACATGGCAAGACCTCGTTTCAATAAATCAAAAAAATTAGCCAGGTGTGGTATACGCCTGTAGTCCCAGCTACTTGGAAGGCTGAGGTGGAAGTCGCCTGAGTCCAGCAGGTCGAGGCTGCAGTGGCTGTGAGCGTGCCACTGCACTCCAGCCTGTGCAACAATGTGAGACTCCGACTCAAAAAAAAAAATTCCAATAATTAAAAAAGTTTGTTTTTTTTTGGTTTGTGTGTTCGAGTTGGAGTCTCACTCTGTCACCCAGACTGGAGTGAAGTGGCATGCTCCCGGCCACCGCAGCCTCGTTCTGCTGGGCATTGGCGCTCCTTCCGCCTCAGCCTACCAAGTAGCCAGAACTTCCAATTAGCCGGGTGCTGCCACGCCCGGCTAATATTTGATTTATTGTAGAGATGAGGTCTTGCCAAGTTGTCCAGGAGTCTTAAATCTGCGGGCTCAGGCAATCCACTCACCTCGGCCTCCCAAAGCGCTGGGATTAAAAAAGTTCGTTTTTATATTTTTAAATTAATAATGGCATTTATATTCCATTAGATAAATTTAACAGCGATATATTTTATTGAAACATTACAACATGCAAATCCGTATTTCAGGCCACCATTTAAACTTTTACTAAAATAGTGCAGTTAATTTAAATGCATACAAAGGGGTATACAGTTTTTCAAAACTGTTTTAGGAGACAAGAGTAAAAAATTTGAAGATCACTGTTTTAGATAGACAAAATTATAAACAAGTCATCTAGATAAGTGAAGACTATATTAACAGGGTATCAAAAACATGACACTTAAATATCATATCCTGCAATAAACTGACAGCCTCAAAGGCGTAAGTTTTTTCCTGGGTATTCCTACCATTAGTGCTATAAATAGCAATAGTAGATTTTAATAACTGTTTACCACATGGGGGAATGGATGGATAGAAGGAATGAATGGTGAATACATTAAGTGTCAAAGATTATTGTTTAATCATGGGAACTTCTAAACATTTATACTAGAAACTAAATACAAACCACAGAATTCAGACATAGCCAGACACACCAAGTCTCTTACATTACAACAACAAAAAAGCCTTAACATAATTAAAAATCTGGTTTGTATCTTAAGCAATAGTTAGATAAATTAAAACAGCAACATGTATAGTACTATCTTTAACTTTTTTTTTTAATTTAAAAAAAAACTACATTTTTTTGAGTCAGAGTCTACTCTGTCACCCAGGCTATAGTGCAGTGGCACGCTCACTGCCACTGCAGCCTCAACCTGCTGGGCTCAGGTGATCCTTGCGCCTCAGCCTTCCAAGTAGCTGGAAGCACAGGTACATGCCACCACACCTGGATAATTTTTTGATGTATTGTAGAGATGAGGTCTCGAGATGTTGCTCAAGCTGGTCTCAAACCCCTGAGTTCAGGCAGTCCTCTCACCTCCGCCTCCCAAAGTTCTGGGATTATAGACTTGAGCCACCATGCCCAGCTAACTTTTTATCTATCTATCTATTTATTTATTTATTTATTTTTTAGTTGGAGTCTCACTCTGTCATTCAGACTGGAGTGCAGTGGCCACTCCCGGCCACCGCAGCCTCACCTGGTGGGCTCCAGCGATCCTTCCGCCTCAGCCTTTCAAGTAGCTAGAACTACAGGAGCGCGCTACCATGCCCGGCTAATTTTTTGATTTATTGTAGAGATGAGGTCTCGCCAAGTTGCCCAGGCGGGTCTCGAACCCGCGGGCTCAGGCAATCCGCTCACCTCAGCCTTCCAAAGTGCTGGGATTACAGGCTGAGCCGCTGAGCCTGGTCCCAGCTGACTTTTTAAAAATTTTTTAAATCAGGAGCTGTTTTATGCAAGAGATACAACTAGTAATAAATGGGAAATAAGAGTCTGGCAGAAAAGGAAGTAAGTATGAAATCACTAAGCTTAAAAATGAAATTTCACTTTAATAAATGAAGATTCAAAGTCTTTAGTAAAGCCAAGATCTTATATGCTCAAAACATAGTATTCAAAAAATATTTTAATATTTTTTAATATTTCAAACTTTATATTCTAAATTCTTTTGTGAGTCAGTGTTTCTCTAAGACCCTCAGTATATGCCTAATTTTGTCTTCTAAGATGTAGGGAAGTCATCACCACCATCTGCCTGAATAATTAGTTTTTACCTCTCACATCAATGGAAGTAATATCCTGAAAAATCATCCACATCTTCCCAATGGCTTTGCCAGCCAGTACTAATTAAGAAATAATCTATTTACTGCCTGGACAAACTCTTATTAAGTGAAACAGTAGGCTTAAATTGTGTATTTGAATTAACGTAAATTAAATATACTTAGGTAACTTGCTGCAATACAATTTAATACAATGTAAAAGATTTGAGGTATAATTGGCATACAATAAACTGTGCACACTGAAAATGTACAATTTGATAAATTTTGACATGTGTATACAAATTTAACTTCTGAAAATTCCAATGCCCTTCTTTTGCCAAAACATTAAATAGTACTTTTGTTATTTGAAAAAAATACTCACCTTCATATAATTCACAATCTTAGCAAGAACACCAAACTTATATCCAGAGCTTCCTGTTAGAGCTTTCAAGTTAAATGATCCATTGCTATGATCTGGAAATAAAGTTAAAAAACTAATTATAACATTTTAGTACTGTATGCAATTACGGCTTTTAAGCGGCTAAAATAATTTTAATGCTGGTAAAATATTTACTGTGTTCTTCATCTAATAAACTCTATCCTGTAAAATTTTGACGAAAATGCACAATCTTTGCGTGTATATTAAACTATCAATTTTCTCACTAAGAATAGGAATAAACAATTTAAAAGCATTAAAATACCATTCTTTCACAAGCACCTGTATCTCACTCTTATCTTAATGCTGATTAGATTCCTCCATAATTAGAAGTATAGCTTATTTAAAAAGGCAACAATACAAATTTCAATCTGATGCCATAAGGCTTTTCTAACACAAGGAGTGAACTTTTAAGAGATAAAAAGCTCAATATAACACCTATTACATCAATTTCTCCTACCAACTTAAGTCAAACAAATGGGAGCTAAGTAATAGGAAAAAAAAAAACTATATCATAGTAAACTTTACAGACAGATTAGGAATTAAAAAATAGGCACTGCTACTACATAAACATGGATGCTTTAAAAAGGATCACAGCAGGCCGGGCTCAGTGGCTCAGTCTGTAAACCAAGCACCTTGAGAGGCCGAGGCGAGTGGATGGCCTGAGTCCAAAGGTTCAGGACCAGCTCCGGCAACTTGGCGAGACCTTGTCTCTACAATAAGAAATCAAAAACATTAGCTGGGCATGGTAACATGCGCGCTTGTAGTTCCAGCTACTCAGAAGGCAGAGGCAGAAGGATCGCCCAAGCCCAGAGGGGTCAATGCTAGGGTGGCGGGTGAGCATGCCACTGCATCCAGAATGAGACTCCAACTCAAAAATAAAAAAAATAAATAAAATCTTTTTTAAAAAGGGATCACAGCATTGCCCACCTACTTTGAGAAATACCCCCCGTTTCTCAATCTGATGTGGAAAAATCTGTATAAAAAATCATGTTTCAAAAATCTACCATTTTGTTGCATACTTACAGGAGAAACCCTAATATCACCATTGCATCACAAATCCACTCCATTAGTCATAAGCAAGAACAGTAAAAAAATCTATCATAAATTGAAGAAAAACATTTCAGAAATAAATATTCTATTAGCAAAGCATCAGATCAGACATAAAGTCTCATGTGGATGATCCACAAGAGGAAAAGTTAAATAAAAGAGGATGGGGGAGCCAATCTTTGGCACCAGTTTGGTAATAATAATTTAAACAAAATACTGCATTAGAACAACCGCAAGTCAAATGTAGCAATTGTCAGAGATCCAAAAGAACAGCTTCTAAATGGCAACTTAATACTCCTTTGAGATTAGCTAGTGAAAAGCCTTTATTGAGCATGCTTTTTTGAGACTAAAATGAAACTTCATATGTAATTTTCCTTTAAAACTAACTTTGTTACAAGCTTGACAATAACTTAATTGGCACACTGAAGTCTACCATGTTTTCATCGTTTGTTTACCATACAAATGACCAATTAATGATCCACATACAGTTTTGCTTAACAAATAGGCCATGATTACCAGCTTGACAGTTACTCCAAGAAGTGTGCATAAAATCTCTTAAATTAATTTTTCCCCCTTCCTTTTCTTGCATTACTTGTTCACCAGTTTAATATTACCTCCAAGAAGGAGGAAGAGAACCAGTATTTGTACTGGCATTGCTCAATGCCATGCATAGTAAACATTCAACAAACATATATTGAATGAATGTAGTAAGTATATTCCCATGTATGCTTTTATGGCCCCAAAAACTAATGTACCAATTTATCTACAATTTTTAAAACATAACAAGCATTTACCCAGCCTGCTGCTCTTGTAACAACCACTCTCACAATTAAAAACCTTGATTCTGGCCAGGTGAGGTGGCCCATACCCATAATCCCAGTATTTTGGGAGGCCAAGGTGAGAGGATTGCCTGAGCACATGGGTTGGAGACCAGCCTGGGCAACTTGGTGAGAACGTGTCTCTACAATAAAACAAAAAATTAGCCGGGTGTGGTGGCATGCACCTGTGGTTCCAGCTACTAGGAAGGCTGAGGATGAAGGATCACCTGAGGCCAGCAAGTCGAGGCTGCAGTGGCCATGAGCATGCTACTGCACTCCAGACTGGGCAACAAAGTGAGATTCCAACTCAAAAAAAAACAAACAAAAAAAAAACTTGATTCAGTTATGTTTAGACCACAAGTCTAATACACTATACACCATAACTAAAAACATTCTGTCTCTAAACAGCCAACTGGAAATGACTTTGCCATTTAAATTTCATAGACTGCTTTTTAATTGTAGGTAGTGTATTTAACTAAACGAACTCTCTTCCAACTTGCAGAGCTGAAAACCAATCCTTTTCCCTCAAATTCCTCCTAAATCAAATCACCACAAGGAAATAACCACTTCCAGAAGGCAAAATTTATATATGGAACAAGTAATGAAAGAAAAGGATGAAAAAAGAAAATTTAATTTATGAGATTTTTATGCACACTTCTTGGAAGAAATATCAAGCTGGTAAACATGGACTATTTGTTTCCTAGGTTACTACATCTCCCGACATTATCTTCTGCCCTAGCGCTGAAGTATTCACTGAAGGATCTGAAATTTTACAGTTTAAACCCTAAGGAATCATCAATTTGTTAGTAACTCACAAATTCCTATCCAGGAATTTAGCTTAAGAACAAAAAAATAAAGGAAAAGTGGTGGCAGTCGATATCTGAGACAGTTCTATTCAAGTTTATGAATGATTTACTCTTAAGGGTGGCAGGACTTAATGCAAATGAACACAGAGGAAACTGTCAGCTGCATTGTGATTCAACCAATAGAAGCACAGCTCCATCTTGGCTGTGCACTAGACTGCATTACAAACAGACGATACCATCGCTTCAACAGCATCCTCTCAGACAAGAGGTAGGTTTATATGATCTTTTTTATTTAGTGGTACATGTTCTTATGATGCAACAGAAAAATATTTTACCATGAAAAACAAACCAGAAAGCTTTGTTCCTACTAAATACACAAAAAGGCAACGTATTCATTTCATTGCTTGGTAGAATTTTATTATGAAAATATGAAGCCTGCCTTGTGCTATTTGATAAGCACCCTTACCATCTGTGCCTTAATGGAAAATTCATTACATTTTACATGAACCTGATCTACATCCAGACCTTAGAGTAAACCAAAAGCATTTGCTGTTAACTGGTTACTTCTAATTTCATTTTCTCTGAGCGATTTCATTTCAGCAGTTTGGTCTGTCTTAACAAAGGATTTTTCTTAAAGAAAAATCTAGACTAGAAGCGAATCCTGGACTAAAGCTTTCTGATCATATATGCAAATTATACTGGTAAAAAGCAGTTACTTACAAAAAAGTTTGCTATATTTTAACAAATATGACAAAAGAGTTCTAAATTATTTTTATTCGACTTTGAGTATAGATACAGAGAATGCCAAGAAATTAACATTGTGATTTTTATATAAAAATAAAAAGATCATAAAGGTATCATTATGTGGGCTACATTATACTATAACCAAAGAGATCATTCAGAATGCTTCAGACTTTCTTAATGTTTTAATTAAAAATAATACTTCACAATGAAATTTGTCTTACTATAATATACAAGTCATGCTATTATTAAACAAGTCTTTTAAAATAGTCTTTTATATTTGATAAGCCACAAAAATAAATATTTATCACAGAATTTAAATATAATGTTGAAGTTATTCTCAAACCAATCCTCAAAATAAATACAGTCAATATTTTTTATAAACTGCTTTTTAAAATAAATATATATCCTATGGAAGGAGGGTAAGCACCTTCCTAGATAATAAGATTGTTTTCATAGCTCAGAGCAACCATATCTACTAAAAATTAGTATCAACTGCTGTCCAAATTTCTAAGCATAATTATTATAAGTATTCAAGCATGAAAATATAATTATTTAGTAGCTGCTAGAGCTCCAGGATACATACTATAACCACTAACCTAAAGATCCAACTTCTCCCCTTTACCTTGCTGGTAATTTCATTTAATCTTAAAAGGTTCCCTTTTTTTTTCTTCATAATTTCTATTCCTTCTATTTCTTAGCAAGCATTCAGCTAGCGTGAGCAAAGTATCCCTTGCAAAACCCCAAGGTTGCTGTAACAAGATATTAGGTCTCTCCAGGTTCAGCACAATGAGGTTAATTACCTAGAAACCATTCCTGCTTGCTATACAAAGTACAGAGCACCAAAAAAGTCTCAGATAAAATACAGTAACTGTCAAATGAAAGTTAACTTACAACTCAAATTTCAGGTAAATTGTAAATAGAAATTCCTACCAACTACATTGTTTTAACATTCTATCATCAGTCTACATTTTTTAAATCTGTAGTATATCCACAGTTAGCACAGACAGAGGCTCATTGCACTTCACCAAGTGAATAGAGGCATGGTCTATCTCAGAGAGTTCCAGAGGTTAAGTTGAGTGAGGTGCTCTATATTTAAAGGTTACTATGATTAACTGATCATATTTCAAAGTGATACCTTTAAAGGCACTAGAGAATTCAATCCAAAGGCGTTTACCATAAATATAGCAAAAGTATATAGTTTTATTCTGATCTGGCAATCCAAGGTTCCAGAACAGGTCCAGTCCTATCCTCATAAATATTCCACTGAGGACTTTTGAAATAGGAGGGAATATATCAACAAAAATAGAAAGCAAAATATAAATAAAAAACATATGATAAAAAAACTATGTTATTTAAATACTTTAAAGCTCTTCATTCCTGTAACCAAATGTTAAAGGGGAAGGGGGAGAAAACCAGAAAAGTACAAAAGTACAAAAAAGTACAAAAAAGTACAAAGCCGGGCTCGGTGGCTCAGCCTGTCCCACGCCTTGGGAGGCTGAGGTGAGTGGATTGCCTGAGCCCGCGGGTTCGAGACCTGCCTGGGCAACTTGGCGAGACCTCACCTCTACAATAAATAAAAAAAAAAATCAGCCGGGCATGGTAGCGCATGCCTGTAATTCTGGCTACTCGGAAGGCTGAGGCGGAAGGATCGCCAGAGCCCAGCAGGTCGAGGCTGCGGTGGCCGGGAGCAGCCACTGCACTCCAGTCTGGGCAACAGAGTGAGACTTCAACTCAAAAAAATCAAACAAAAACAAACAAAAAAAAAAGTGCTATTCTACTCTTTTTTAAAACAATTTTCTCCTGATTTACATAAAGCATGTTTACAGCATTTGCTTTATATATCTCACATTTTAATTTTAAAAATACAATCTCAGATCGGGGGAAATCCTAATGGTATATTTCTTTCTGCATAACTAATTGTGCCTAATGCATCAAAATAAGATTTAGTCCTAGCCGAGCTCAGTGGTTCAGCCTGTAATTCCGCGCCTTTGGGAGGCTGAGGTGAGTGACCCGCCAGCGCGTGCTTGTAGTTCCAGCTACTTGGAAGGCTGAGGTGGAAGGGTCGCCGGAGACCAGCAGGTAGAGGCTGCGGAGGCCGGGAGCGGCCACTGCACTCCAGTCTGGGCAACAGAATGAGACTCCAACTCAAAAAAAAAAGAAAAAGATTTAGTCTTGCTGGGCGCAGTGGCTCAAGTCTGTAATTCCAGGACTTTGGGAGGCCGAGGTGAGAGGACTGCCCAAGCCCATGGGTTCGAGACCAGACTGGGATACTTGGCGAGACCTCATCATTACAATAAATCAAAAACTTAGCCAGGCATGGTGGCATATGCCTGTAGTTTCAGCTACTCGGAAGACTGAGGCAGAGGGATCACTTGAGCCCAGCAGGTCGAGGTTGCGGTGGCCATGATCATGCCACTGCACTCCAGCCTGGGTGACAGAGTGAGACTCCAACTCAAAAAAAATTTAAAAACAGGTAAGACTTAGTCTTTATCCTAAATATAACACAAAAAATTACTAGAGTTCTATTGTACATTGAAATAATACACATTAAATTTTTTTTTTTGAGTTGGAGTCTCACTCTGTCGCCCAGACTGGAGTGCGGTGGCCGGCCTGCTGGGCTCCGGCGATCCTTCCGCCTCAGCCTTCCGAGTAGCCGGAATTACAGGCATGTGCTACCATGCCCAGCTGATTTTTTGATTTATTGTAGAGATGAGGTCTCGCTGCCCAGGCGGGTCTCGAACCCACAGGCTCAGGCAATCCACTCACCTCAGCCTCCCAAAGGCGTGGGATTACAGGCTGAGCCACTGAGCCCGGCTACACATTACATTTAAGATAGAAAATGACTCCACAGTATTAACTTTCTCTCAGATATACCCAGAAGCTAACTAAAGTATAAATAAATGTTCTGAGTTGTTCCTCAGTTGTCAACACATTCACAAGGGGCAAACTGTCATCATTTACAACATAAACCTAACCCACACACTAAGTTCCTAAACTGCCAGACACTTCCAGCAAAGTATACAAGTGCCTCTGAAGGCAGCATAAATTGCTCCCATAGTCATTACTTCAAGCATAATTATTATAAGCACTTTTGTGGGTGAATAAAGTATACAGTCTAATCAAATAAGTTTACTAAGCCTTATTTTAATTTTTTAGAATCCAGAAAACTTAATAAATGTATTATAGACACAAAACACAATAGAGTTTAAAAGCCAAAGGCAAGAAAAAGTACTTTTTACTTCTCCTTTTAAAGTAGATTATTTTGTTTTTAAATAAGTAATACACTCAAAAGGTTCGAAAACCAAAATAATATACAACCTATATATTGAGAAGTCTTACATATGTCTCTGTGCTTTCACTCATCCAATCACTGTGATTAATTTATTATAGATCCTCCCAAGATTTTTGTGCAGACACAAGCAAAAATATATATCATTTCCCCTTTTTGCTATACACACTGTCCTGCACCTTGTTCTTTTCATTTAACAACATATCCTAAAATCAGTTACCTTTGATTCAATTGTGTGGATATACTGTATTAAATTAACCAGAAAAATATTTCATTGATAAGTACAAGTTAACCTCAAATAGTTGAATTTAGTAATGTGCCTGCCTGTCTGCCTTCCTGACTGCCTTCTCTCTCTTTCTGTTTCTCTTTCTCCATTTATTTTTTTTAGGGGCAAGAGGATCTGAAAATATTTTAAGCAGTTCACTTATACCTCAAAAATAAACAGAATAAAACTTTCTAATCATTCTAAAATTTCATTTTGAAATGATAACAGTTCTTACAACTTCTCCCCAAAAGTCAATACAAACAAAAAAGGCCTGCTCATAACAAATTAAAATACAAAGTAATAACTTCAGTATCATTTCAATCAACTATGAGTTATAGATTTATATAGACAATTTCTAGGATAAAAGAAAGGAAAAAAAGGCAAAGGTTTATTATGCTAGGGAGATAGGATTATGAACGGAGCTCTTAATGTTTACTTATTTTAAATTGTGATAGCTGGACGCAGTGGCTGACTCCTGTAATTCCAACACTTTGGAAGGCTAAGGCGAGAGGATTACCTGAGCCCAGAGGTTCAAGACCAACTTGAGCAGCTTGACGAGACCTTTTCTCTACAATAAATAAAAAAACTAGCCGGGCTCAGTGGCTCAGCCTGTAATCCCACGCCTTTGGGAGGCTGAGGTGAGTGGATTGCCTGAGCCCGCGGGTTCGAGACCCGCCTGGGCAGTGAGACCTCATCTCTACAATAAATCAAAAAATCAGCCGAACGTGGTAGCACATGCCTGTAATTCCAGCTACTTGTAAGGTTGAGGTGGAAGGAACGCCGGAGCCCAGCAGGTTGAGGCTGCGGTGGCCGGGAGCGGCCATTGCACTCCAGTCTGGGTGACAGAGTGAGACTCCAACTCAAAAAAAAAAAAAAACTAGCCAAGCATGGTGGTGCATGGCTGTAGTTTCAGCTACTTGGATGGCTGAAGCAAAAGGATCACCTAAACCCAGCAAGTTGAGGTTGTGGTAGCCATAGCGTGCCACTGTACTCCAGCTTGGGTAACAGAGTGAGTTTGACTCAAAAAAAGAATAAAAATTAAAAAATAAAATTGTTGTAACAATGTTTTTGAAATCAATAGTAAAATAACATTTTAAGTTAACATAAATTCATTAATAAGGTGGATTAAACTAACTTGACAGGCACAATGTTAAGAAACAACTTCTCTCTACTCTCTTTTCTCTCCCTATCATCATTACCCTCATAGTTACTTCTAATGCCAGGTTTAGAAAAGAAACCTTCGAAAGAAATTCCTAGATTTTAAAAAGGGATCAACCAGGCCGGGTTCGGTGGCTCAGCCTGAAATTCCAGCACTTTGGGAAGCCGAGGCGAGGGGACTGCCTGAGCCCATGGGTTTGAGAGCAGCCCGGGCAACTTGGTGAGACCTCATCTCTACAATAAATCAAAAATTAGCCAGGAGTCATAGCACATGCCTGTAGCTCCGGTTATTTGGAAGGTTGAGGCAGAAGGATCGCCAGAGCCCAGCAGATCAATGCTGGGGTGGCTGTGAGCATGCCACTGCACTCCAGCCTGGGTGACAGAGTGAGACTCCAACTGAAAAATAAATTAGTTAATAAAATAAAAAGGAATCAACCTGAAGTCCTTAACAGAAAGTGCAAGGAATATGTCCATAAATACTGGCAAGGGCCTAAGTCAGCCCAGGTAGAATGATTAGACAGCCCCTCCAGCAATTCTTCCTATTTACCTAGGCACACAAGTGGTACTGTACTCTACTTCTCAAAGGGTCTACTCTTCCTCCACTCTCTCATTAGCTCTGTTAATCAAAACAAACCTGAAATCCATTTACACTCAAGTAAAAATAACTGTAATAACATGTTTTACCTCTTGCAGGAATATCTGCATTTTGGCAGTGCTAAAAATCTTCAAGGAGCTCCAAAAGCTGAATATTTTTAAGGTATTTTAGTGTAGGGGTTTGTGCATGTTACTACTCTATTTGGGAGGTTGAGTCTAAAAGAAACTAACTTTTGTCTCCATCTAAATAAGTTCCTATGAGTTATCTGAATTATTTGTGTGCATGGTGCACAGAATCACAGGCAGCAACAAGGCAGAGGCTGAGGGATAGCCTATCAGAAAACTCACATCACACAACTTCAAGGGGCACCACTTATGTCGTATTCTCCATGAATGGCACCCTACAACACAGTATGAATGGTGCTCCCTGGAGTTGTACAAATTAGCAGCCCTGCTTTCTATAAGAATGTGCTCTGAAGACAAAATGCAAAGGATAAAAGGGTACTTTTGTAAGGCTGGGTCTACAGATATAGTCTGAGAATACTGTAAATGTAATAGGAAGTTACATACCTATGTTCCACACCAAGCATTTTTGTCTGTCCCTGAAAAAAGCAATTGATTTGATTACCGCCCATTAGTGCGTCTAACTTCAAGGTGAAGAGTCACCAAACACTATAAAACTGAAGAATTCTTAAATGCAAAAAGAAAGCATGTATTTAAGTCTTTACTTCTGGCCTCATGTCATCAACTTAACCTTCAAAATACAGGAAATAAGAAAGGAAGGAAGCAAGTCCATCCAAAGAGATAAGACAATTTGCCAAGCAAACTTGATTCAAGAAAAAAAAAAGCTTAGAAAACATCATTTTATCAACTTCAAAGTTACAAAACTTTATTAAGAAATTTAAAGAATCATATTGTTATGGTTATGAGTTTTTGGTGTTAAAATGGTATGATATCTGTATTTTTTTTTTTTTTTTGAGTTGGAGTCTCACTCTGTCACCCAGACTGGAGTGCAGTGGCCGCTCCCGGCCACCGCAGCCTCGACCCACTGGGCTCCGGCAATCCTTCCGCCTCAGCCTTCCAAGTAGCTACAGGCGCACGCTATCACGCCCAGCTCATTTTGATTTTTTGTAGAGATGAGGTCTTGCCAAGTTCCCTAGGCGGGTCTTGAACCCGGGGGCTCAGGCAATCCACTCACCTCAGCCTCCCAAAGTCATGGGATTACAGGCTGAGCCACCGAGCCCGGCTTGATGGCTGCATTTTAAAACAGAGTAATAAAAATTGAGAGATATATACTGAAATATTTCCAGATAAAGTGATGTTTGAGATTTGCTTTAAAATCACCCATAGGGTAGAAGCAAGTGGGTAGAGAAACAGATGGGTATTAAGAGCACATGGGAGTTCATTACGCTCTTTTTTCTTTTTTTTTTTTTTTTTTGAGCCAGTCTCACTCTTGTCGCCCAGGTTGGAAGGCAGTGGAGGGCTCACGGCCACTGCAGCCTCAATCTGCTGGGCTCAGGCGATCCTTCTGCCTCAGCCTTCCAAGTACCTGGAACTATGCCCGGCTAATTTTTCTTGACTTATTGTAAGAGATGAGGTCTCGCCAAGTTGCCCAGGCTCGTCACAATCCCATGAGCTCAGGCAATCCCCCTCAGCCTCCCAAAGTGCTAGGATTGTAGGTATGAGTTACCGCGCCCAGCCCAATTATACTCTTTTACTTCCTTACTTCCTTGAAGTTTTCATCAAATGAAATACACACTCACATATAAGGTATCTCTAGAATTTAGAAAAGTATTTGGTGCATAGTAGGCAATCAATAACCTTCTATTATAAAAATGAATAAAAGTTTGTTTACAAGTATGTAATAAAGGAAAAGCATACAAATGATAATAAATTAAGGAAGTGAAACAATGTTTTTTATCTTATTTCCTCAAATCTTTAATTCTTACAGTCCTATTTAAGTATCAACAAGTATCAGGTCAACAAGTGCTAAAATTAATGCAACAATACTGAAACTTTAACTCACTAGTTTATTTTGTGGAATGGAATAATAATTTAATAACTCATACCTTTGGGAGGGCTAAATTTGTCTGTTTTTAAAAATATTACTGTCCATGAGTTGTTTAAGAATAAGAAATATTTAAGACTATCATCTACATAAAAATATTCCCAAGATTAAAATCTCTTCACAGGCAACCTTAACCTAAAACCTTATTATCCTTATTCTGAAAATTGTCATTATTTGGCTTCTTTTTCTATTATTTTTCACTCAGCCACTATTTCCTGATTCAGATCACCTGTTACTGAAGTTTAAAGAAGTGAAAATAAGAGGCAGAAAGGGAGAGGACTGTCTGAGCCCGCAGGTTTGAGACCAGCCTGGGCAACTTGGCGAGACCTCATCTCTATAATAAATCAAAAAATTAGCTGAGCATGATGGTGCACACCTGTAGTTCCCACTACTTGGAAGGCTGAGGTGAAAAGATTGCCTGAGTCAAGCAGGTCGAGGCTGTTGTGGCAGTGTGCATGCCACTGTACTCCAGCCTGGGCGACAGAGTGAGACTCCAACTTAAAAAAAAGAGAGAGAGAGGAATTCACCAAACCAAAAAGGTGAGACAAACCCATTAGGATAATGACAAAAGCCCTTAAAAACAATACAAGCTTTTGTAGATAACAGGTTACTGACCACTGCTTTAGTCAAGTTTTAAAGCAATTCAGTTAACATTTTTCCTCTTCCATTGGCAGCTACAAATATTTATCTAACAAATAATATATTAAAAACAATAGAGTATCGTTTACAAGGTATATTGCCACAGATACACACAAACTTCAAAAAATATCATTCAGGTATTAATTAAGATTCATGTTGTTGCCTATATAAATTTACTAAGAAATTTTAGTGCCAAGATTTGAAAGGACAAATATGTGGTTTGGTTACATATATTCATTTTCTACCTTTTTTTTTATAGATCCAAAAAAGCAATACAAGAAGTGGAATCTCTAAAAATGGCTTCCAGTCACTGGAACGAAACCACTACCTCTGTTTATCAGTACCTTGGTTTCCAAGTTCAAAAAATTTACCCTTTCCATGATAACTGGAATACCGCCTGCTTTGTCATCCTGCTTTTATTTATATTTACAGTGGTATCATTAGTGGTACTGGCTTTTCTTTATGAAGTGCTTGACTGCTGTTGCTGTGTAAAAAACAAAACTGTGAAGGACTTGAAAAGTGAACCCAACCCTCTTAGAAGTATGATGGACAACATCAGAAAACGTGAAACTGAAGTGGTCTAGCACTCTACAGAAGACAAGGAAAATCTCTGACAACAGCTCAACCTCTTCCGAGAAAAAAGAAAATCTTCTGAAGCCAACCACTATTATGAAACGGATTTAGACTTTGAATGGTTAAAAGATTTCTAATAGATGGGAAAAACAAGTTAATTATGCACTGTTTGTGTGTGTATCCCTTTCATTAAATATACAGTAAAACTTCATAAATGTGAATTTACCAATCTATTTGACACTTCAAAAACAAGATAAACAATTCCTAGAATTCCATATTGAGCAGCAAAAGGTAAGCTGGAAAACACAAGCAAAGCTAATGATGCTAGAATAATTTTATGTCTAAACAATTCATGTAGACCAAAAAAATAGCTTCCGGTAACAAAAATGCTATTTAAAATCTGTTTCTAAATCCAAAGTAAAATACTTCTACTTATACACCAAGTCCATACTTATTAAAAAGTAATATTTTCCAGTCAGGCACAGTGGCTTGCATCTATAATCCCAGCACTTTGGGAGGTCGAGGCAGGAGGATTGCTTGAGCCTATGAGTTTGAGACCAGTCTACGAAACATAACAAGAACTTGTCTCACAAAAAATATTTTTAAAAAATTAGTCAGGCATGGTGGCATGCACCCACAGTGTCAGCTACTCGGGAGGTTGAGGTGGAAGCATCGCCTGAGCCTAGGAGGTCGAGGCTGCAATGAACCATGGTCATGACACTGCACTCCAGCTTGGGAGGCAGAGTGAGACCCCAACTCAAAAAAATATATTTTCTAATTTATTAAGGAACACATACACACACACACACACACACAGGGGTGCCAAAAAAAAATGTATACACATTTTAAGTGATGTTAAGAGATGTTTGCCGAAATCAGAAGTGTCTGGATGCTGATGGTAACCACTTTGAGCATCTCTTGCAATTGCACAAGTCAAATGTGACTTGTAGTTAACTTACTGAGTATTACAATTTTAATACAGTTTTTTCCTTTCTTAAAGTGGGTATACTTTTTTGGCACTCTCTGTGTGTGTATGTATGTGTATATATTCACATTCAAAAAAGGTAAGATAACTGAATCAGAAAAGATTGTTAAAATAAAAAAGTAAAAGGACCACTCAACACCTGCTGAGAAATAGGGCAGTTTTATGTCTTGGAATTCTAAGGGTCATACAGATACATTTTATGACCTTAACACTGTTTTGCTATCATTCATGAGCAAAACAAAGCATTCTTTTAACCATTACCCTACCCTTAAGTCAGAAATGCCACTCCCAAAAATTTATGCTGAAAAATAAGTTAAAAAGAAAAAGCTCAAAGTACAAAGATGCTTACAACAGCATTACTCAAAATAACAAAAAATTCAAAATAATTGAGCCTTTAACTAACTAAATGTGGCACATCAACTTAATGAATCACTAAAAAGCTACATATCAAATAGAAAAATATTTTATATGTAAAGTGAAAAATAAATTCAGAATACCAAACTTTTAATTCAATTATAGAGTATATTAAAAGCAAATAAACATGAGTAAGGCCTGAAAACAAATATGTAAAATTAGAATAACTGGTATGTTAAAAGGGCTGTGAGAACAAAAAGAGTGCTAGAGGTTGTAAAAGACTTCCTTTTTATCTCCAAGGCTGATGGAATTTTTTTTGTGCCACAAATAACTATGAGGAGGCACAGTGGCTCATGCCTGGAATCCCAGCACTCTGGGAGTAAGAGGCAAGAAGATGGCTGGAGCCCAGGAGTTTGAGACCAGCCTAGGCAACATAGCAAGACCTTGTCTATGGGTGACAGAATAAGACCCTGCCTGACTCAATCTAGCTGAGGCTAGAGGATGACTTGAGCCCAGGAGTTGGAAACCAACCTAGGCAACATAGTGAGACCTCGACTCTACATAAAATTAAAAAATTAGCAGGGTGTGGTGGCAGGCACCTATAGTCTCAGCTACTCAGGATGCTGAGGCAGCAAAATTGCCTGAGTCTAGGAGTTTGAAGCTGTGGTATGCCATGAGCATGCCACTGCACTCCAGCCTGGGCAACAGAGACCACAATTCAAGTAAAAGAAAAGAAAAGAAAAGAAACACAGGCCGGGAGTAGTGGCTCATGCCTATAATCCCAGTACTTTGGGAAGCCAAGGCAGGACTGCCTCAGCCTAGGAGCCTGAAACTAGCCTAGCCAGCATAGGAAGACCGTGTCTCTACAAAAAAGTCAAAAAATTAGCTGAACGTAGTGGCACGCACCTCTAGCACCAGCTATTCAGAAGGCTGAGGCAGGACGACCACTTGAGCACAAGAGTTTGAGGCTGCAGTGAGCCATCATCGTGCACCAGCCTGGGCTACAGAGTAAGACCCTGATTCAAAAAAAACCACAAATAACATAACCAACTTTCAAAGGACTTGTGAAATGCAGGTCTTTGGTAGCCAAAAGCTGTTCTGAGCACTGTTAAAACTACCTATGTTTTCATAAACTTTGGGGTGCTTATCATAGATGGGAAGTACACAGGTTCTTTAATAACTAAATTTTTTTGGTAATGTACCCTATCAACTTTTCCCCTACCCTAGCCTGCAACTTATTTAGCCATTCAACAAATATTTACTGAGTGTTTACCATGTGTGAGAGCTTAGATCAGATACTGAGGGAAGAGTGGCAAACAAGTAATCGTAAAATCATAATAGTGCACAGCAAGAGCTTTGTTAGGAAGAGTGAGTGCTACAAGAACTCAAAGATTAAGCACTGAATTCAGATTGAGGAAGGGGACAGTATGACTTTAAGGTGAAACCTAGAAGAATAGGAGTTAACTAAAAGAAAAAGGGAAGAAGGTTTAAAAAAAGAATGTTCTGGGTACAGGAAATAATATGAGCACAATCCAAAATGCAAGAAAGAAAAGCATGTTAGAGGAGCTACAAGTCAGTATCCCTAGGACAGAGTACAACAACAGTGAGCTGTAATGCCTAAGAGGTAAGTAGAGACCAGGTCATGTGGGCTGCAGTAATAGATGGACTTTGTCTGAAAAGCAATGATAATTGGCTTAAGTAAGCTGAGAGGGACATGATCTGATTAGAAAAATCACAAACCAGCTGGGCTCGGTGGCTGAGTCTGTAATCCCGCGCTTTGAAAAGCTGAGGTTTAAGACCCGCCTGGGCAACTTGGTGACCTCATCTCTACAAAAAATCAAAAAATTAGCTGGGCATGGTAGCGTGCAACTGTAGTTCCAGCTACTTGGAAGGCTGAGGCAGAAGGATCGCCAGAGCCCAGCAGGTCGAGGCTGCAGTGGCCAGGAGTGTGCCACTGCACTCCAGTCTGGGCAGCAGAGTGACACTCCAACTCAAAAAAGAAAGAAAGAAAAAGAAAAATCACTAACCACTGTATGAAGAACGAATAGGAAAGAAGCTAAACCAGGAGACCTGGTAAGCAGTTAATCCAGGAAGCCAATGAGAGTGGCCGCAACTCGGGTGACATGGTAGTCTTTAGTGTTTACACCCAATATTTCCAGTTCTCCTCGTTAAGGAAAGGTTGCACTTTAGGAACCTCCTATGGTTGGGTATGGCCTCGTGACTAACTCTGGTCAGTGAGCTGCAAGAGGATGTCATATGTATCACTTCCTAGCCAGAGCATTTAACTGTGAGTGTAAGATGTTCCAGAGCTCATTTTCCCTCTAGCACAGAAACCAGAAACATGTGAGCTATCAGCTGCTTTGTCACCCTAGGTACTTGAATGATTATAACTAGCTGAAACTCCTGTCAACTCATAATTAAAATGTGGTATGAAAGAGAAATAAGCCTTTGGTGTTAAGACACAGATTTTTGGGATTGTTACCACAACACAGTTTACCCTATACTGTCTGGCCATCCAAAAGAGATTGGATAACCCTGGCCAACCAAGAGAAGTAAAGCCCTAACCAGATTCTTCCTGCTGTTGAATGAAATCTGTTTGTGCAGAAGATGAAATTCACTGTAGCCAAAAACTACAAAAAGCAAAGACATTCTTAAGCAGGCAAAGGAACTAGGCCCCAAAATGGCTGTGTTAATGTTTAAAACAGTTTTTAAAATTGTGTTTACTATGAGTTAATTCAATGTAAATTTTGCTGGAATGAGATTAAACCTAATGTATATGCTTATAAGCATGATAGGCCTGCTTTGATTTAAAAAAATTAGCACTGCCTTAAGATCAGTTATTAAAATAACTTGAAGAATATCTAACAAAATGACATCAATAAAAATTAATATTGCTACATTTTGAAGTAGTTAAATAAATCTGCTGTGAATTAAACTATATTTCCCTTGTTTAAAAGATAATAGTCTAAGAGTAAACTAAACCCAAAGTAAGCAGAGAGAAGGAAATAATATATACTAATGTGGAAATAAAAGAAATTCTTAAGAAAAACAGAAAAACCAAGCTGTTTTCAAAGTTGGTTTTTGAAAAGACCAACAAAATTGATTAACTTTAGTTACACTGATCAAGAAACAAAAGGAGAAAATACAAATTTCTAAAATAAAAAAAAGAGGGGGTATCAATACTAATATTACAGAAATCAAAAGGAATCTAACGAAATACTTTGTAAAACTTTAACCAATGTAAATGATAAAATGAACAAACTCCTAAAAAGACATAAAGTATCAAATTAACTCAAGAAGAAACAGAAAACCCAAACAGCCATATAAGAAGAAATTCTTACAAAGAGTTTTCCATAAATGAAAGCTCAGGCCCAAATGGCTTCACTAGTGAATACTCCCAAACATTTTAACCCATTGCACTTGGAGACATCTTGTTAGACCACATACCAGCAACTTGACTGCACTTTTTTATGAAATAGAAAAAAATGAATCACCTCATATTAAATAGTATAGTGTTGAAATCAATGATTTTATAGCAATAGTAGCAGGTTTATAATGAAATCCTGGACATTGAAAACTTGTTTATGACCCAAAAAAACAAAATTTTAGCTTTTTTAAATGTGTGATAATGTGTGAAACATGCATTGCAGGTTCATTGATACATGTTGTGGAATAGTAATTTGTTTGATGTCTGTCACCTGGTGTTTTTCTATTTGAACAGACAATGCAGTCTCACTTTCTTCCTCCCACATAAATAATATGTAATTTATTGTCCAGTCTGTTGTTCGAAGACGATGTGGAATGACACACTCATGATTCCTAAAAACCACTTCTCAACTGATCAAACAGAAACTTGACAAATTTCAAATGGGACACAGGCTCTTTTTTTTTTTTTTTTTTTGACGCTCAGTAACATATTTCCCCGAAAAAAGAATTTCCTCCATCATTTTAAACATTTTTACAAAAAATGGTATGTAGAAGCTTATTTATCCACACAATCCACACAGCTCATATTTGCAATATAATTCAGAATCATTTCAGGTTTTTTGACTGACATATTTCCACCAAGTAACGTATTTATGGTAGATTTCATTCCTGCATGATTCCAAGTGCTGAGAATTGTAATGATCCCTTTGTCCTTCCACACAAGAAGCATAAGATTATTTTTCCTATACACTACTGTTTTTTTTTTTCATTAAAACTTTGGTTTTTTGGCTGGGCACAGTGGCTCATGCCTGCAATCCCAACACTTTGGGAGGCTAAAGTGAGAGGACTGCCTGAGTCCAGGGGTTCAAGACCAGCCTGGTCAATTTGGTAAGCCCTCGTCTCTACAATAAACCAAAAAATTATCTGGGTGTAGTAGTGCACACCTGTTAGGCTGAGGTAGAAGTATCGCCAAAACTACTAACACTTTCATCACTATCACTTTCTATTACATTTGCCCGTTTTCTTCTCGGTGGGATGATATCACTATCACTACTATCATTTTCTTCCACACCAAAGTTAATTTTTTTCTAACTTGTCTTTATAAAAGTCTAAATCTAACTCATCTTTGCTGCTGCTTATACTGTAACTCTCACTTTTGTCTTTTCATTTAGCCATTGTTCTGCAAACTAAATAGATAAAAATTTTCTTTTTTTTTTTTTTGAGTTGGAGTCTCACTCTGTCGCCCAGATTGGAGTGCAGTGGCCGCTCCCACCCACTGCAGCCTCAACCTGCTAGGCTTCCGCCTCAGCCTTCCAAGTTGCCGGAACTACAGGCGCGCGTTACCACACCCAGCTAATTTATTGTAGAGATGATGTCTTGCCAAGTTGCCCAGGCGGGTCTCGAACCCGCAGGCTCAGGCAATCCACTCAGCTCAGCCTCCCAAAGTGAGGGATTACAGGTTGAGCCACCGAGCCCGGCCAAAATTTTCTAATTGTAAACTACAAAATCATGAAATGAAATTTATCAAAAGAATACATTTCCAACTTAGTGCAGTTAGAGATATTTGATCTGTCCTGCTCGATACTTCAATATGATCTACCTTCAATTTCGAAAGTCTCTTTCTTTTAAGTCTACAGTAACCTACTTATCTATCTTTTCAAATTATGCCACATGATACAAAGGGTATATCCACAGCTACCTGTCTTCTACAAACACTCTTCATTGCTGCCTGTTACAAAAAAGTGTTGCCACCATTGTGAAAGCACTTCATACATTCTCTTTCTAGTGTATATTCCATCTCTTTATTTGCTTTTGTGAAATATGAATGGAAAAATTCAAAAAAAAAACAAAAACATTTTCTGAAAAATTTGCACTGGCATAAGTGTGTCCTGTATAATCACCAGCAATCCCTTTGTATCATCTGAGAGGGGACATGTAAGTGGTTTGCTAGATTTACGATGTCCCCTCAGAGGGAACATCCAAGTGTAAAGGGTTAAAAATGATAAAAAATCTTCACAAACTCTTTCAGAAAATAGAGGAACACTTCACAAATCATTTAAGGAGGGCAGAATCACTACTAGGCATCACAACAAAACAAAACTAAAGACCATGTCACTCGTGAATAGAGACACAAAAATCCCAAACAAAATACCACAAACTCAATACCACAACAAATAAAAAGGCTTAGACACCATAACCAAGTGGGATTTATTCCAGGAATGTAAGGTTGTCTTAACATCTGAAAATTAGTTACTGTTACTATAACATATTAATAGAATACAGGACAAGAACAACACAGTCATCTCATTAGTTACAGAAAAAGAATCTGATAACATCCAATGCTCACATATGATTAAAAACTCTCAACAAACTGGAAATAAAGGGAACTTCTTCAACCTGGTAAAAGAAATCTACAAAAATCTGCAGGGACATAATATACATAAAAGACTGAAAGATTGAATACATTCCTCCTAAGACCAGGAACAAGGCAAAGATGCTACTTCCCCGACTCAACATCAACCAGTTAGTACACACAAGTACAAAAGAAATAAAAAGTGTCCATACCAGAAAGAAAGCTGTTATTATTTACAGATAACATAATTTCGAAGTAAAAAACTAAGAAAATTACCAGACATAAAAAATGAGTTCAGCAAGATTATAGAATATAAGATCAATGTATAAAAATCTACTATATTTCCATATGCTAGCAATGAACAGTACAAAAAAAAACACAAATTAGGAAAACAATTTCATTCACAAGTGTGCAACTGAATAAAAAATACTTAGTAATAAATTTAACAAAATGAGGCTGACTCATACATTAAAACACAAAATATTGCAGAAAGAAATTAAAAACCTAAGTAAATTAAAAACTATCCATTTACTGACTGAAAGACTTAATATTAAGATGATAATTCAAGGAAGATAAGGCAGGAGGATTGCTTGATGTCAAGAATTCAAGGCTACAGTGAGCTATGATTGTACTACTGCACTCCAGCCTGGGCAACAGAGCAAGATCCTGTCTCACAAAAAAAGGAAAAAAAAAAAAAAAGGAGAGTGGTGGAGAGTGGTGGAGGTACTGGTGTAAGGACAGACATAAAAGTCAATGAAATCAAAATGAGACTTCAAATAAACTCATTTATGGTCAAATGATATCTGACAAGGGTGCCAATGCAATTAAATAAGAGAAAAGATAGTCATTTCCAATAATAGTGCTGGGACAACTCAATAGCCACATGCAAAAAGATGAATTTAGACCCTTGTGCTAAACCAATCAGAAAATCAATCACAGACCTAAATGTAAGAGCTAAAACTATAAAGCTCTTAGAAGAAAACATTGAAGCAAATTTTCATGACTGTCGGTCAGGCAAATATATGACACCAAGAACACAAAAGATAAAAGGAAAAATTTGGTAAGATGGACTTGATCAAAATTTAAAAACTATTGCTCATTTAAAAAAAAAACAATTAAGAAGATAAAGCCAGGCATGGTGGCTCACGCCAATAATTCCAGCACTTTGGAAAGCTGAGGTGAGAAGATTGCCTGAGCCCACGGGTTCAAGACTGGCCAGGGCAACTTGGCGAGACCTCATCTCTACAATAAATCAAGAAAAATGAGCCGAGCATGGTAGCGCATGCCTGTAGTTCCGGGTACTTGGAAGGCTGAAGTGGAAGGATTGCCTGAGCTTCGACAGGTTCGAGGCTGCGGTGGTCATGAGCATGCCACTGCACTCTAGCCTGGGAAACAGAGTGAGACTCCAGCTCAAAAAAAAAAAAGAAGATGAAAAGAAAAGCCAGGTGCAATGGCTCACACCGGAAATACCAGCACTTCGGGGGGGCTGAGGCAAGAGGACTGCCTGAGCCCAGGGATTCGAGATCAGCCTGGGCAACTTGGCAAGACCTCATCTCTACAATCAATAAAAAAACTAGCCTGATTTGATGTCATGCACTACAGTTCTAGCTACTTGGAAGCCTGAGGTGGAAGGACTGCCTAAGCCCAGTAGATCAAGGCTGTGGTTGCTGTGAGCATGCCACTGCACTCCAGCCTGAGTAACAGTGAGAACCTAACTCAAAAACAAAAAAAGAAGATAATTTGTAAATATGTATCACATCAAGGAATTATACCTAGAATATACAAAGAAATTTCATAAATTAATAGGAAGAAGACAAATAACTCAAATTTTTTTTAATGGGCAAAAATCTTTAGACACTTTACCAATGTCAATAAGCACATGAAACAAAGATCAACATCATTAGTCATTAAGGAAATGCATATTAAACCACAATATTAATACCACTTCATATCCATTAGCAATCTCTATGATCAAAATGACAAGGAATGTTAAATGTTGGCAAGGATGAAGAGAAACTGGAACACCATAAATTGCTGCTAAGAACGTAATATGGCACATTTTAGTAGTCTCTTTAAAAATTCAATATAAATTTGCCACATGACCCGGAAATTCACTCCTAGGTATCTATCCAAGAGAAATAAAAACATGTACACAGACTTGTACATGAATGTTCATAGCAACCCTATTCAAAATAGCCAAAAAGTAGAAACAATCCTGATGTCCACTTATTGGTGAATAGATTTTTTAAAATCCATATAATGGAATACTCTTTAGCAATAAAATGGAATGAAGTACTGATACATACTACATGAATGAAACTCAAAAATAAGCTAAGTTGAAAAAAAAGTCACACATAAAAGGCCAATCAAACAAAATCATTACATGAAATGCCCAAAAAAGGCAAACATATAGAGACAGAAAGTAGATTATTGATTATCTAGGACTGGGGTAGAAACGGTCACTGCAAATAGGCACATAAGATCTTTTGAAGGTCATGGAAATATCCTAAAATTGGACTGCAAAACAGTTGCAAAATTCAGTAAATTGACTAAAAATCTTTTAATGGTATGTTTTTAAAAGTAAACTGTATAGTACGTAAATTAAGCCTCAATGAAGTTATTTTTCAAGTAAATAGTAGCCTAAATTTTAACTACAATTCTAGACTATTAACATCTTCAAAGCTTAAATTCTCTTACTGTCCTATTCTTAATATTTAACAAAGTACCTAACAATCAACCTGAACACTGAACTGAAAAATGAACTTCCCATAACTAAACGGTTTCCTGAATAATCTGAAACATAAAAACCAAACGGTCCTAAACAACTTTACTAACCAGAATTTTGTTTAGAGCCTGATGATCCTCCATGTTCTACCTTTGCTTTTTTCTTCTTTGATGATGACGACGATGACTCAGAAGACACTGAGCGTTTTTCTACTACAGGAGTGGAAAGAGCTCGCTTTTTGAACAGCTCCCTTTCTCTCAACAGGCTTGGATCCATAATGCTGCAAAAAAAAACCAATAAATACCTTGAGTACAGATTAAGATCACTCAAATCTTCATGCCAAATCCACAGATCTCACCAAGTTATTTCCCAAATAAAATTACCTGTTATTATTAGTTCCCTAGCACTTGTATTTATTCCTTTATTCATGCACTCAAAAAGTACTTAATAACTTACTGCTCATTATGGGGGGGGCAAAAGAACCCAGAATTATCCTTTGGAGGGTGAGCCCCATGTACTACAGACAACTTCCCTTGCTAAGTAAGTGTTCTAGGAACCCATCAGCATCAGTGAATCAGCTAGACTGTTATAAGAAGCTGCATTCAGTTTCAGTGAATTTTTTTTGGAGATTCTTTCAACAAGTTTGCCCATTTCCGGATGGGTGATTTAGGAGTGCACCTGCCCACACAGCGCTAGGTGTTCAGCAGTTTTTGACCAAAAGCAGCATGACCCCCTTGCCCCCTCCCATTCACCCAATCTCACGCCAGGTGACTATTTTTGTTTCTCTGGATGAAAAAAGTCCTCAAAGGGAAACGTTTGCTGAAGTGGAAGAAGTGAAACAAAAAATGGCAGAAGCCCTAAAAGGCATCAAAATTGACGAATTCAAAAAACTGTCTTGAGCAGTGGAAAAAGCATCTCGATAGGTGTATTGCAGCAAACGGAGAGTACTTTGAAGGTGACTGAAGTTTAAACATGTAAGAATAAAGACACAATTTTTTATAAATAAATTCCAGAGTTTTTTGAGTATGCCCCTTGTATGCCAAACACTGAACTAGTCAATAGAATAAAGAAGGCTGAGTGTGGTGGTTCACACCTGTAATCCCAGCACTTTAGGAGGACAAGGCAGGCAGATTGCTTGAGCCCAGGAGTTTGAGACCAGTCTGGGTAACACAGTAAGATCACATCTCTACAAAAAAATTAATAAATTAGTCAGGCATGGTGGTACATACCTGTAGGCCCAGCTACACGGGATTATGGCTGTGGAGAGCCATGATCATGCCACTGCACTCCAGCCTGGACAACAGAGTGAGACTTTGACTCAAAAAAAAAAAATTGAGATGTACTCTAAGGACAAAAGACACGCCAGATTTCAAAGACTTAGTACAAAGAAAAATACTGTTAAACTACTAATGAGATATGTCACAATGATTACATGTTAAAGTGTTAGTATTTTGGATATACTAGATTAAATAAAATATTAAAATTATTTTTACTAATTTTTCCTTTTTGAAAATTTTCCTACTAGAAAAAAAATTTTTTTTTTTTTTTTTTTTGAGTTGGAGTCTCACTCTGTCGCCCAGACTGGAGTGCAGTGGCCGCTCCCGGCCACTGCAGCCTCAACCTGCTGGGGTCCGGTGATCCTTCCGCCTCAGCCTTCCAAGTAGTTGGAACTATAGGTGCATGCTACCACGCCTGGCTAATTTTTTTGATTTATTGTAGAGATGAGGTCTCACCAAGTTGCCCAGGTGGGTCCCAAACCCACAGGCTCAGGTAGAAAATTTTTATTTACATGTGTAGCTAACATAATATTTCTGTTGGACAACATTGCTCTAGAAACATCAGGACTAACAGGAAGAAATTAGAAGGTAGACCTAGCTAGGTTTATTGCCAAAAAAGTGAACCATCAGAAATGTCTATAAATGAAACAGTATACTTTAAAAACTGAGGAACTCTCAATCAGTAAGAGGTTGGATTAATATTTGTTAGAAATGTCTACAGAAAATTTCTGATTTGGAGGGAGATAGGTTGGTTTTAGGCGTGTTTACTTTTTCCAGTTCTAAACCTCTATAATTCTAAGCAGTTTTAGTATAACCAAGGAAGCTACAGGTCTATCAAGAATTTTAAAAATTCCTCTCTTTTCTGAACTTTCCTTAGAACCCTGTAGAAATTCTAATAAAACAAATTTGACACTGTTAAGACCAGTGTTAACTTCAGAGGAAAAAGTCTCTATCTTATACTTTGAAAGATTTAAGCACAGGATCGTTGTTAAATGAACAATGAACAGGAAAATATCTCTAAACCGCTCTGGCCCCATTATTAGTTTTGGAAGCCTTTATTAAATGTCTTCTGTTTGTGAGGCCCTGTGCTATAAATTTTGATAGGTTACAGAAACATAAATCCTTGCCTGCAAACCACTTAGATTTGAGAAAATGAAAGCATTGAGTACCTAAACTAAAACACAGCGAAGCCAGGGGCAGTGGCTCACGCCTGTAAATTTAGCACTTTGGGAGGCAGAGGCAAGAAGACTGCCTGAGTCCAGGGATTTGAGACTAGCCTGGTCAGCTTGACAAGAACTCGTCACTACAATAAATCCAAAAAATTAGCCAGTTGTGGTGACACATGCCTGTGGTTTCAGTTACTTGGAAGGCTGAGGTGGACAGATCGCTGAAGCCCAGCAGGTTAACACTGGGGTGGCCGTGAGCGTGCCACTGCACTCCAGCCTGGGCAACAGAGTGAGACTTTGACTAAAAATTAAAATTAAAAAACCACGCAGTGAATAAATGTGAACTGGAGTGCTAAAAATTAAAAATATAAGTATTGATAAGGAAAAATCAAAGTGAACTTCAGTGAGGAGTGGTGGGTCACTGGGCCAGGGATCAAAGACCTGTCTTCTTTTTTTTTTTGAGTTAGAGTCTCACTCTGTCGCCCAGACTGGAGTGCAGTGACCGCTCCTGGCCACCGCAGCCTCGACCTGTTGGGCTCCAGCGATCCTTCCGCCTCAGCCTTCCAAGTAGCCGGAATTACAGGCGCGCGCTACCACGCCCAGCTGATTTTTTGATTTATTGTAGAGATGAGGTCTCGCTGCCCAGGCGGGTCTCGAACCCGCGGGCTCAGGCAATCCACTCACCTCAGCCTCCCAAAGGTGCGGGATTACAGGCTGAGCCACGGAGCCGGCTAGACCTGTCTTCTTAATTCCTAACAGTTTCAATTGCTAACAGTCACATGGACAGGCAATCCACAAGACCTTTCCACATTCAATTTCATTGTAAATAAAATAAGGACACTGCCAATGCTGTGCACATCTAGTCCCCCCCCCTTTCTTTTTGAGTCAATCTCATTCTGTAGCCCAAGCTGGAGTGCAGTGGCACACTGCTCACAGCCACCGCAGCCTTGAATTGCTGGGCTCAGGGGATCCTTCTGCCTAAGCCTTCCAAGTAGCTGGAACTACAGGCACACACCATCATGCCTGGCTAATTGATTATTTATTGTAGAGATGAGGTCTCGCCAAGTTGCTTAGGTTGGTCTCAAACCCATGGGCTTGGGCAATCCTCTCACCTCGGCTTCCCAAAGTGCTAGGATTACAGGCATGAGCTATCACGTCCAGCCAATTTAAGAACGAGAAAATGAGGCGGGTGCAGTGGCTCACACCTATAATCCCAGCACTTTGGGAGCCCACGGGTTCGAGACCAGCCTGGGCAACTTGGTGAGACCTCATCTCTACAATAAATAAAAAAATTAGCCGGGCATGGTGGTGCATGCCTGTAGTTCTGGCTATTTGGAAGGCTGAGGCGGGAGGATCGCCTGAGCTCAGCAGGTGGAAGCTGTGGTGGCCATGAGCTTGCCACTGCACTCCAGCCTGGGTGACAGTGAGATCCAACTCAAAAAAAAAAAAAAACGAGAAAAATGTTTGTTACAGTAATTTTTTAAATAGTTAAGCCATGTAAATATGTTATTTCAGTATTATTTTGAGTTGGACCTGAAAAGAAATAACAGAATGACCAATTCAGGAGTGAGAAGGCAGAGGCAACAAACAGACAGTAAACTCCTAAACAGGAAACATGTGCATCTGTTTATTTCTCCTTGCAAAGACAAGTCATTAACCCTGGCTTTTAATAATGACATAGGCCAGGGCGGTGGCTCCTGCTGTAATCCCAGCACTTTTGGAAGGCCAAGGCAGGGGAATCACTAGAGGTCAGGAGTTCCAGACCTGCCTGGGCAACATAGTGAGACACTGTCTCTACAAAATAATAAAAAAGTAAACGAGCCTGTGTGCCTGTAGTCCCAGCTACTGTGAAGGCTGAAGCAGGAGGACTGCTCAAGCCCAGGATTTAAGGCTACAGTAAGCTATAATCGCACACCAGCCTGGGCGACATAGCAAGACCTTGTGTCAAAAATAATAATAATAATAGGGGGTGGAAGGATGAAAAAGCACCTATTGAGTACAACGTGCACAGGTGGGAGTGGTGAGTACACTTAAAGCCCACACTTCTTTGCCACTATACAATGCAACCATGTAACCACAAAGCTCCTGAAATAAAGAAAAAAAATTAATATAATGACTTCAACAGATTTAAATAAGGTCACACAGTTTACAAAAACCTAAATGCTTACAGTATTTGATCCCCACAATTCTATGAGAGAGTATTAGTGCTATCAGCGTTATTCCTATTTTAAGACATGAAATCTGAAGTGAAGAAGTACGGTGAAGGTCACACAGCTGGAAGAACTGGGGCGGGACTCGAATATCCCGAGCCCCAAGTCAAGTGCTCCTTACACCAGAACTGGAATGCCCGTAAATGCCTTTAAAACAAAGACGACCTGTGTAGCTTGGGCACGTTCAATCGCATCTAGAGAAGTTTTCACTATGTCTGTCTTTCCCCCATCACGTGCTCCACCTAACTTTTCCTCCTTTTTCAAAGACTACTCAATATTTGTCCTGAGCTTTCCATCTCTGAACTGACCTGTGTAGCAGACAGGATAGATGTCACCATGTCCATTTTACATTTAAAAAACAAAACACAAAACAAAACGCCACCACGACTCAGGCAACAGACGGGTTCTTCAGTGGATGGATATGGAGGAGCCAAAACTTAAGCCACAATCTGCAGGATCGCTGCCCACGTTCCTTCCACCTTTCGACCTCTTTCTTTCAACCTTCCTACCTTCCCTCCCTCGTGCTACTTTCCCGGCCTCAGCCTCGGAGAAGCCACTGGCACCCAAGTACCCTGCTGCTACGGGCGGGCGGCAAACCGAGACACTCTTCTCACCTAAACGCCAGAAACGGAGAGGGAGGCGAGACGCCTTGGACTTCGCAGAAAACCACTACTACCCTTAAAGTTCAGGAATCACGACAAACCAGGGCTCAGAAAGGCGGCGTCACAACCAGTCCGTGTAGGAGCATCCAAATCGCCGCCTTGGGTTGGCCGGACCCCGTGTTCCCCAAAGTACACACGTACACGTACACACACACACACGGCTCGCTCGGCTACGGCCAGCGTGAACTTGGAGGAGAGGACGAGGCACCACGGCTCTCCGCTGCGAATTCTCCCTCTTTCCAACCCAAAAGTTTGCTCAATGAACCTCCGGCCTAAGGACAAAGCTCCCGGGGAATTGTTAGCGTGTGAAGTGCTGCGCGTGGAGAACCGAGCCCCAGGCGCCCGCGGGGCGGAGGACACGCTCCGTCCGCCCCGGCGGAGGCGGCGCTTCTAAGTCCCGAGAACAACAGGCCGGGGCTCCGCGCCCCTCACCCGGCGCCGCACCCCCTACCTGAGCGAGGGCAGC